ATAGTGTGTGGGAGGATGACACCACATTCATGAACAACCCCTTAAGTGCTGAACTTGTACAGCCGGCAGTCGACGATTATTACGACGCAGTTGAAAAGAGAGACAACATCAAGCCGTTGGTACGAGACTATGCCAAGTTTACCATCGATAAGAAGGGCACGCTGCGATTGAAGGGTCACCCGGGGGTCGATATCATGAAGGCCGCCGAAGCCCCGCCCGGCATCCTGGGTAGCATCGTCTCTTGGCTGCTGAGCGCTCTGGCTAAAACTGCCACATGGCTCGGTCAAAACCTGTGGGCAGCCATTGTCGCCATGGTAGGTCTGGTGTACGTAGCGGCTAAGGAATTTTTAACCAAATGAGTCCCACCCCGACCGTGACCCCGCCAGCCACCAGCGCTGTTTTACGGTCGATGTGCTGCTGATTGGATTGTGGGGGTTGGGACTGTGGGGGTGTTGGTTGAACCCTAGGCTCTGGGGGTGATTCGACTATACCCATCGCACCAGTATGTGTGGGTGGCGGGACATGGGGGGTGTTAACATCGGAGTTGACGCCCAACTTTTGGTCTGCCGTGGCTATGACTATTTCGTTGTTGTAACCCACTACTTTTTTTACTCTCAGTTGCATATCGCTCGGAGCCATATACAGTCCCACGTCGAAGACTTAGTCGACTTTCGACCGGGCGTATTCCAACACGTCTTGGTAGCGTTTGATGGCACTCAGGAGATCAACTGGAGCATTGATAGCATCCTCAACGTTAACAACGAACTGTTTCTGAGTGTCGTAAGCAGTCCCCTTACCGAGGATGTTGGAACGCGTTTGCGTTTGCTCACCCAACAACGCCCACACGTACGTTCGAATCGAGTCGTTGAATCTGATTACACCGGCACGAGTAAACCCTTTGGACGTGTCCAGCATGAACTTTTCCCAGTCATCCGCTGCCCCCTGCTCGAACCTCCAGACTCGGTAATCCTTGCTGTTGTCGAAAGCCATGTAACGGTCATCCCACTCGTTTGTTGTGAGGTGATGATACGACTTGTACCCCCATTCTTTCATCTTCTCGCTGGCATCCACGATAGGCATATTGTGAGGGATACCCAACAAGTGGTTCGGCCCCGTTAAACGCCAATCCGTCTTCAGGTTTAGTTCGAATTCGTTGCAAATACGTTAGTAGGCCCATCTATCGTACTGGTTGTTTACTGCGTCCCATGCTTTGTCCTGTGGGAGTGGAGCGCTGATCTCTTTGAGGATACGTCTGCTCTGGTAGTACACGTGGAACATGAACACAGACTGACTCAGCGGTCCCCGCCGAGTGTCGGTCAATGTCACACCACACCCCGTTGTAGCCCACCACACGGCGAAGTTGAGTTGATTCTGCCAGAACTGCATCGGGTTGTTGAACCAAGCATGAACTACCTTAGCGTTAGTCACCGAAAACCTATACTGGCCAAACACATCTATAAACTGGGCGTTGAAATATAGCCCATCAGCGACCACGATCTTCATGTGGGGGGAAATCTATGTCCAGTTTAGGGTAAAACACTCCCGGGGAGTAAAACACTCCTTGTTTGTCCATTTTTAAAGTATTATATAATGGGTATATATACTCTAACATGTACGTAACACTTCCAGGAATAACGAGCGGTGAGGCTGTTCAGCTGATGCACACTATTGATAACACGTCGGGTCAACTCAAAGTCGCACTCTGCGATATCACCTTCCTACCGCTATGGACTAACATCAACGCTAGCAACAATAAGCTGTTCATAAGTGGCGCCCGTAACCAGATAATCGCCGGATACTACAGCGTGTGCTCGCTAAGCGACGAGGTCTTCAAACCCTTGGGAGCCAAACTCAAGATGAACGACTCAAATGGCACAGTGGTGTTAACCAACAACGGAACAAACCCCTTGAGGCACGGCCGACCATTGGCGAGGACACTCGGGATACCACCTGATGAGATAAAACCAACAACTACCGTCACAGGCACGAAGTTACCCGACCTAGTACTGTACCGAGAGGTGTGCATTCATCTCGGTCAGGTGAGCACAACAGACAACATTCAAGGTGGGCACCCTTTCACGATACTGAGAGCCGTACCGGTGAAAACGGAGAAATACAACGACGGTAGAACCGAGTCGTTTTCACCACGGCAGTATAAGAGGTTAACTCGGGGCAACATCCCTGAGTTGATAATATCGGTGTTAGATATAAATCATAATATATGTGAATATAGGATACCTCAGCATAACGCTGCACATAAAATGACCAGCGCACAAGGTCCTGGAATGAAGTTGAAAAAATGCGTCAATGTGGGGATATCCGACCTCGGGGACACACGCGGATTCGATGACCCTGGAGTTGATGGTAAATTGTATGCCTTGCAACTGAAAAACAACATTTACAAACGCGTTGAAGTCCCCATCATTGGTGGTACTAGAAACCTAAGTGATATAGTAGATACCTCAGGAGCGACCGTCAACACTCGGTACACCCTAGTCTGCACCGGTGATGATAAATGGATGGTATACCCATCGTTCGGAGGCAAACTGTTCGACTTAGAAGATGTTGAGAGCAACGCGACGGCCATCACCGAAAATAAGCAGTATTCCCTCTTCTTAACCAACGACGACAAGTGGGTGTTGTTGCCCTCTAAAGTCGATTGGTTTCTCAACATTAGGCTCGGCTCCCCCTACGTGTTCACGGAGAACAAAGACAACTACCTTAACTAAGTCATGAACAACGGAACCCTGCTCGTGGCTTACATCCCGACGCAGACACGTAGTGTAATCATCAGTCCACTCGCCAGTATGGCAGCCAACATGCTATCTAGCAAGCCCGGGATGCAAAACGTGGTATTGCAGTTGGTGTCTGAATTCGAAGGCGTGGTCAACATTCTGGAGAGTCTACCGGCGAACTCAACGCTGGTCATCAAAGTCTACCTAGGGGAACCATCGCGGGATGAAGTCGAAATCGTGAAGGGGATCAAACTACGGTGGGGGAAACAACACCAGTATCACGTTTGCACTGTTTACGTGCAGGTGGGTGTCGGCTCCAACACCAGTCTACAGGGGTCACCGTGACCGTTGAAGACACGATATCACTCATCAAGATCTTCCTACCCGACAACATACACTCCATGGGGGTGAAGTGCACCCCTGAACTATTATCAGAAAAACAATTGGAAACTATCTCGTAATAGTATTATAGCAATGACTAGGCATCGGCCCAACGCTACGCTTAACGACCTAGGGGACACAGAAGGATTCGATCAGCTTGGTGAGGAAGACGCCTTATACATCCTGCATTTGAAAGACAATGTGTATAGGCGGGTGTCATTATCAGATTTTAAAAAGCCTGAATGGTTAGTCAACTTAACCCTCACCTCACCCTATATCTCCTTGAAACAAAATAATACTATCTCCGAGATTAGGAACAACGGCATCATTCTAGGGTCGTTCATTCCGGATTCTAGCGTACAAGTCATACGAATACTGGGCCACTCGGGCAACATGTTAGCTTCCAGTGAGGAGGTAAAGATAGAGCTCAAATTACTCGATTACCAACAGGGTTTTAGAGATGTCGCGAAAAACTTCACACTCATCATAGACGTCTATCTCGGAGAGCTAGGGGTTTGGCCCAAGAGGTTTATTAAACTTTTAGATGATATTTTGTTATGTTGGGGAGACAGGCATAAAAACCAACGTTGTCGTATTATTAAGGTATCGGGAAACAGACCTTTAGCAAGCCTTGATGGAATTCGTGTCCTAAATGGAAGTAGAGCTAAGACCACGATTTTTTACACACAAGTTAATCTAAGTATTATCAGCTTTAAGTACATTAATCTAAGGTTAAATGAAACCCAATTAAAATATCTATTGCAATATATATTATAGGATGGGACTATACCCAGTCGTAGAGGAAGTCGCTAAGACATCGGAAACCATAGACGGGTTCCGCTTGAGGCAGTTATGTGATGTAAAACACCAACTAGAACAAGACCGCGACACGCGGAAAGCACTATGTAAGAAGTACCATAGAGCTTTCAATATCGTGGACGGGACTGATACCGCCCTTATGGCAACCAGCATGGGACTAGGGGCAGTAGTCGTAGCCGCACCCATAGTGCTGGGCACTGAAATAACAGCTGGGGTGTCAGTGTTGGCTGGATTGGTATTTAAGTTTGTATCTCGCAAATTGCACCGTAAAGCATTGAAACACGACGAAATAAGAAATCTAGCCAAAGCAAAGCTGAACACGGTAAGTGAGCATATTTCCACGGCACTCACTGACAGTAAGATCTCAGAGGAGGAATTTCGTTCAATCCTCTCTGAACTCGACAAGTACCGTAAGATGAAACAAGAAATCCGGTCCAAGTCTCGTAAGTCTGCTATCAGTGAAGGCGAGAAAAAAACGTACATAGAACAGGGGGTACGAAAAGCCCAGCCAAGGAAGCCTTTATTACGAACACCAAACAAATCATAGGCGATTCACATTAAACTGTTTCATCGAGGTCAACACGTCATAGCGGCACAGTAGAGCCACGTTCGGCACAATAGCGTCACGCGTGGCCGGGAAGTTAACTGGGGGCTCAAAAGTAGTAGACAATGGCGGGTGAGATCTAAGGGCTTGACAAAAGCTTTATTTGTGAAATAAAGCTTTGCAGAGGCTTTTGTTGGACTTGATCTCGTACTGCTATTACTCCTACTACTCAGAAAGTCTCTGAACATTATTTAAACGTGAAAGTGGTAATGATCACTACAAACTTTCAGCTGAATGTTGTCGAAATAGCAGCAGATCTATCAATTTCAAGCTTGAGAAAGAGTTGTTTATGCTGTTTATCATTATTCATTTTGTTGGTTAGTCAAAGTAAACAGGCTTTGGTGTGGCGTTAGAAAGCAATGAGATTTAATTCACATAAGGCTAATAGGAATCATTCTTGGAATATAATTTGGTTTCGCCTGAGACAAAATGTACTCTTTAATAGGTTTTGCTATACATACCAGAAGTCTGTTCAGGAACCATCTTCATGAAACAGTGTGCAGAACTTCTATATGTTGCATAGTTCATACGAAGAGAATGCGGGGCAGCTATTGTGTTGACAAAGTTAATAAAGGCCTCAATTTTCGCATTAAACAGCTGGTCTGAAAGGCAGTCATGCTTATTCACAACCCCATAAACGGAGCTGAAATTGGTTGAAGTTCCTCGTCTGATTTCGGCCACAATGTACCTATTGAGTTCAGCATTGAGTCCGCCAACCTTGTCCTGTATGTCTTCCCTAGTCCGGAATGTCAACACGAATGTTGGTTGATGTTCGGTGAAAATACACACATCACAGATCATGTTCTTTGGCAAAATAGGTGCTCGTCGACTGTTCAGACTTTGCGAAACAGAAGGTGCACAAAAAGCAAAGTGATTCTTGTCCTTCAAAAAGTGCTGGAGTCTTTGGAAAATGTCTGGGTGATTGTCCTTGAGCCAGTTGTGCATATTTCCTGGATACAGCCTCAGATCTGAAATCAAAATACACCACTGACGAAACAAGTAGCATGTGGGACTTTCCTTTGCTTTTATCCAGAGGGAGTTAACAAATTACTACAACATAAAAAAGCCATAGCTTGCTCTAACTGTGATTACAATAAATTTGTTAAATTCCAAGTCAGCGAGCCAGCGATCCCGTTAGTCGCCTCTTACGACAAGCATAGTCGCCTTTTGTGGCAAGCATGGGTTGCTGAAGACCTATTCTACCCCGGATGTTCACGGGTCTCCAGTTGCCATAAGCTGTTTGTTTGAACCATTCTATTCAATTACTCTTTTCGATGAAACTTAGTTTATCGATGTATGACATTGGTCCAGATGCCATAAGCTCTGTTTGAACCATTTTATTCAATTACCCTTTTCGATGAAACTTTTTATTGATGTACGACATAATATGAATTCTTCCAATGAAACATATGTTAAATGACATATTATGACATATATGATTTGCTGTACAACAAAAAAGTGGAATAAAAAACCCAGTAGCATGTGGGACAAATCTACTTCCCATCAAAAGTTTAGACTCACTATAGGTTATGTATATATATGTATACATCTTCGATGTAACTATAAACACTTACAATTGGGGGAACCAACTGCAAACTATATGCAGATGAATTGCACGAGGATCATGCATCAAATTGCTGACAAGCATGTGCAAATATCATGCATGTGAACAGCTGCGTTTTGGTGTAAAGTTTTGTTTTGAATGCGCCAATTCTCACTGACTTTTATCATTTATTGAACTCATGACAACAATTTTTCAACGTTACATATTTCTTTTACAATAAATCAGTTCATGCGTAAACAGTACCTTTAAACAGTATGGAATATTTTGCAAAAGTTAGTTTAGAACAGTTGCCTGACGTAAGTGGATATATTTACACTAGTGAGTCTTAACTTTTGATTGGAAGTATAGATTGTACAGGTTTAAAGGAATAACAGGTTTGTCAAGTCGGACTGTTTTGGACTGTTTAGCAATGTAGGAACAAGGGGTTTTCACTGTTATGTACAAACAATATATTATTCTGAATCAGTTATCAATACCATCCTTAACCTTTAGCCTGCTGAATTAATTTCAGTATAAGGCATTGTAAAGAGGGTGGGTGATTCAAACAGTCGGTTGTCATTAATTACGGGAAAACTGAAAACAATATTTGGCATATTATTAATACTAGATAGAAAAATGAACATTATTGTCTCAAAATATCGTGATAATTTCAAATAATTGTCAAAGTTTATGACAAAGCAAACATAAATAATGTATTTTTTCTGAATTTACCTGAAATGCTTGATTGACAATGGAATGCGTTCCTTTAAGGAACCTGAATAAATTAGCGCAAATTTCGGGAACATGAAGTTAGAAACGGATTGGGGATTGGGGATTGGGGATTCGAATCCCGAATCTGAATATTTTGTTCACATTCGGGATTCGAATCCCAAATCTGAATATTTTTTTCACATTTGGGATTCGAATCCCGAATCTGAATATTTTTTTCATATTCAGGGTTCGAATCCCGAATCTGAATATTTTGTTCACGTTCGGGTTTCGAATCCCGAGTCTGAATATTTTTTCACATTCAGGATTCGAATGATGAATCAGAATTTTTTTTTCATATTCGGGATTCGAATCCCGAATCTGAATTTTTTTCAGATTCGGCATTTTTGCACATTCGACACTCGGCATTCGCTATTTGAACTCTTATATTTCACCCCCCCTTCTAAAGTACTAGGTGCTCGATGTATACCTGGGTAACTACAGTTTCCCATATTTGAACCTCAAATCTGAGTTTTCTCAACATTCGGGTTTCGGGATTTGAATCTGAATATTTTTTTCACATTCGGAGTTCGAATCCCGAATCTGAATATTTTTTCACATTCGGAATTCGAATCCCGAATCTGAATATTTTTTCAGATTCGGGATTCGAATGATGAATCTGAATTTTTCTTTCATATTCGGGATTCGAATCCCGAATCTGAATTTTTTGTTCATATTCGGGATTCGAATCCCAAATCTGCAATTTGATCACCTTCAGTTTTTTCTTTTGCACATTCGACACTCGCCATTGGGCATTCGGTATTTGGTATTTGAACTCTTATCATGCATTTCATTAAAACATTCGGAGAGTGACTGAGTGAGTTTAGTTTTACGCCGCACTCAGCAATATTCCAGCTATATGGAGGCGGTTGGTAAATAATCGAGTCTGGACCAGACAAGCCAGTGATCAACAGCATGAGCATCGATCTGCGCAATGGGGAACCGATGACACGTGTCAACCACGCCAGCGAGCCTGTCCACCCGATCCCGTTAGTCGCCTCTACCAACAAGCATGGATTACCGAAGGCCAATTCTAACCCGCACCTTCACGGGTATTAACACACTTGGAATTCGGGAACTTCACCGTCCTTGTAACTATACTCTTTGCACCTTCAGTTGTCAAAACTCGGAATTCCCCAATATTGTTCATGTAAGCAAAATAAAACCTCAAAAACTTTATTTCTTCATTCAGCAAAAACGTCCAATAAGTCACCCATCCTACATTATAGAACCAGTCACAGGAACCAATGAATGAATGCATGATGAATGAACGAAGGGATGAAGTTTGGCATTTATCCAACTAACCACAGTATTTCTAAATACAGGTTTGTGGAGACTACTGTATGTTTGAAAAAACTTGCATTTTTTATCACTAAAGTTAGGTGGTGACATGTGAAGCTACTGCGCCATCAGTGAGGTTGTGTGATGTAATGAAACCTGCAAACTACGATGCGAACAAAGATAATGTTGTACACTATCCAAAGAATGGTTAGCTACAACGAAAATGGATACTGAGGCACTATTCAGACCGATGAACAATCCATCTGTTGTCTCAACCCACCTATGAATATCTCATATTGTAATTACGATGTATATTGAAACAGCACGTTTTTCTAACCCCCCTGCTCCTATTCACCTGAGAACCTGTCCCTTTTGAGGAAAGGTCGAAAATAAAATACATTTCTTGTGTGAATGTGACTTTTATTATGATCTTACATATGACTTATTTACCCTCTCTCTCAGTTTGTATAATGTACCCATGAATGATATGTATAATTTATTCATTAATGTAAAGCGTCTTCAAAACTTTGAATTAAATATATTTTTGGCTAATACTGTATCTAAAATGTTTCATAGGTGTAACTTACATACAGATGGGTAATTCATAACATTTTATTAGTATTTTTTATGTTTTAATGTATGTGCTGATTATGTGTATATGTTTGCATGCATGTTTGAGTATGTACGTATGTATGTATGTATGCACATATGTATGTTTGTGCATATATAATATGTGTGTATGTGTGTGCATATATATGTGTATACGTGTGTGCACATATATATATAATTTACATACTACTTGAAATGTTAATGCCGTTTGCTGCACACTCATACCTAACCACAACAGAATTTCAATAGGAGTATTCTGCAACACAATCAGCCTCTTATCTCATGCACACAAGAGTAAAGATATAGAAAAGCTGTTTGTTAGTAATTACAGAAGCTTACAATTTATAAGCCTCGTTCAGCACATTCATTTAAATAGATAATGGGTGAGATTTAGATAATATCAAACACTTAGTTTACTTTAATAGAACAGGTTCAATGTACTGTAACATATAAATGCAATAATATAAATATATAGAGACATATTGGACTAACCTGATGTGAAAGTTTTCCTGTCAAATTCGCTATAGAGTGACTAAGTACAGACTCAGTGCAAGCTATTAGACAAAGGGTTTAACTTGGAATGTTAGCTTGGCCAGTCAGTTGAGCACCTCTTGGCTTGGGTTTGTTAAGGGCTTGAAAGACACATTACCTATATTTTAACTGTCCTATTGATAAATGAACACACACACACACACACACACACACACACACACACACACACACACACACACACACACACACACGCACGCACACGCACACGCACACGCACACGCACACACACACACTTTTTTATATAAAATCCCGATGTGCAAAGTTCTATCTGCAACACATACATGCAGGGGAGAGCTTCACGACCTTTCGACTCTCCCCGACGGAGAACGCCAGCGCCGAGGGTAGATAAGTTTGAAGAGTGAAGGTACAAAGACTACATTTACACAGCCGCTGAAGTCCCGAATTCAAAATGAGTAGAAGTAATGCATAATAATGTTCAAACACCAAATACCGAATGCCCAATGCCGAGTGCCGAATGTGCAAAAGAATATATCTGAATGTGTAAAAAAATCAGATTCGGGATTCAAATCCCGAAACCCGAATGTTGAGAAAACTCAGATTTGAGGTTCAAATATGGGAAACTGTAGTTACCCAGGGATACAACGAGCACCTAGTACTTTAGAAGGGGGATGAAATATAAGAGTTCAAATAGCGAATGCCGAGTGTCGAATGTGCAAAAATACCGAATCTGAAAAAAAATCATATTCGGGATTCGAATCCCGAACATGGAAAACATATTCAGATTCGGGATTCAAATCCCAAATATATAAAAAATATTCAGATTCGGGATTCAAATCCCGAAACCCGAATGTTGAGAAAACTCAGATTTGAGGTTCAAATATGGGAAACTGTAGTTACCCAGGGATACAACGAGCACCTAGTACTTTAGAAGGGGGATGAAATATAAGAGTTCAAATACCGAATGCCGAGTGTCGAATGTGCAAAAATACCGAATCTGAAAAAAAATCATATTCGGGATTCGAATCCCGAACATGGAAAACATATTCAGATTCGGGATTCAAATCCCAAATATATAAAAAATATTCAGATTCGGGATTCAAATCCCGAAACCCGAATGTTGAGAAAACTCAGATTTGAGGTTCAAATATGGGAAACTGTAGTTACCCAGGGATACAACGAGCACCTAGTACTTTAGAAGGGGGATGAAATATAAGAGTTCAAATACCAAATGCCGAGTGACGAATGTGCAAAAATACCGAATCTGAAAAAAATTCCCGAATGTGGAAAAAATATTCAGATTCGGGATTCAAATCCCGAATATGGAAACAATATTTAGATTCGGGATTCAAATCCCGAAACCCGAATGTTGAGAAAACTCAGATTTGAGGTTCAAATATGGGAAACTGTAGTTACCCAGGTATACAACGAGCACCTAGTACTTTAGAAGGGGGATGAAATATAAGAGTTCAAATACCGAATGACGAGTGTCGAATGTGCAAAAATACCGAATCTGAAAAAAATTCAGATTCGGGATTTGAATCCCGAATAGGGAAACAATATTTAGATTCGGGATTCAAATCCCATAAACCCGAATGTTGAGAAAACTCAGATTTGAGGTTCAAATATGGGAACTGTAGTTACCCAGGTATACAACGAGCACCTAGTACTTTAGAAGGGGGGTGAAATATAAGAGTTCAAATACCGAATGCCGAGTGTCGAATGTGCAAAAATACCGAATCTGAAAAAAATTCAGATTCGGGATTCGAATCCCGAACATGGAAAAAATATTCAGATTCGGGATTCGAATCCCAAATATGGAAAAAATATTCAGATTCGGGATTCGAATCCCCAATCCTCAATCCCGAATCCGTTTCTAACTTCATGTTGCTGCAAATTTCAATATTCCTATTTCCGATATCTCATAATTATCTGACTTTAAATTAGGATATTTTTTATCGGCAATCATCAGCACGACGATAAATTAGAAAACATCTGAAATATAACAATCGGAAACGTTCGTCGTAAACAAATCGTATTTTTCGATGTCATCACATGTTTTGTTCAAATGAATCAATTACGTTTATTCCAACGTGTCATGACATGAAAATTGCAGGATAAAATATATGAATTATGAATATTCACGTGTATTAATTTCAAGTGTTATGGTTCATTATTTTCGAAACAAGCCCACAGAAAACCAGTGTTGAGCCGTGTTACACGTACGAAAAGCAAACATGACGCACTTCGTCCAACCCAACATAAAATATTGCTATTTTTATAAGAACAGAGTTTACAGGACCTTCGTGTATAAGCCCTGGGGAAAGTTGAAGAATTTCCCATTCTACGCGTGTTTCATTTTTATCATTTTCAGTTTAATATGACAAAAGAGAAACGAAAATTAAGATCGCGAAATCTAACTTGTTTTCTGGTAAGTGCAAAGGTCACCTGATGTGATGTCACAGACAGGGGTTGTTTGGTAAAAATCTTTCGTCTTTCAATACTAACAGTAAATTTGGAAATATTTCGTCTGGCAATCCCAAATGAAAGTCAAATCATTATTTAGAATGATTAATCTTAGCTCATAGGAAAAAAACATGTTGTTTTTTTACTATATCATTGGCATATCACGGAACCAGTTTGACCTTGTAGGCTCCCGTGACCCGGAAACAGTAGTCGATCAACACTCCACATGCAAGTTTCTCAGTATCTTTTATTTGAACATTTGTTGATATTAGGACAACCACTTTATTCTACACTGCATATGCAGATAAGAAACATATAATTGTGAGGCATGTTAATGCATGTTTGTTTGGCTTTTTAACTTTGTCCGACACAACAACGTGTGTGTTTCAAAATAACATTCATGCTTTTCTTATTGTGCCAAAATATGATGCATGATGCATACGTATTATATTGCATACTAAAATAAAGTATCAATTATAGTTTGACGTAAAATTAGGGATGATTTAATAACTTTTGCGTTCATATTAAATGTATTCCAAATTTATAGTCTCACTTCAGAACAATTTGAATTACATATATAAATTTATGCAATAAATTAAAATCCTTGGTGAATACTGATGATAGATTTCTAATGCTTAACGTATCACAGCTGATTACAACTTAAACATTTTCATATGTTGATTGTTATTAATAATATACTACCAATCAAAAGTTTAGACTCACTAGTATAAATGTGGCCGCTTACTTTAGTCAACTGTTCTAAACTAGATTGTGCAAAATGTTCCATTATGTTTATAGGTACTGTTTACACATGAACTGATGCATTGTAAAACAAATTCGTAACGTTGAAAAGATTATTGTCGTGAGTTCAATAAATGATGAAACTCGGTGAAAATTGGCAAATTCTTAAGACTTTACACCAAAACGCAGCTGTTCACATGTACAATATTTGTACATGCTTTTCAGCAATTTGATGCATGACCCTCGTGCAATTCATCTGCATGAGGTCTGAAGTTGGTTCCCCAAAGTTAGTGGAGAAATTTATCTTCAATGTAACCATATATTTATACATAACATATAGTGACTGCTTTAAGTGAGTCTTAACTTTTGATTGGTAGTATATGATTAGTATGTTTCTCTCCCAAATGGTCATGGGTATAGGCACTAAGGATCTATCAAATGCATTAGCAAAATGTAAATAACTAATTAATGTCTTTCAGTGATGTGGAAAACTAACAACTTTACATAATTATTTAATACAACTATACCATAAAATATATGGATATGGAGACAATATACATGTGATAGATCATATGGTCTCAGATGAAAGTCAACAGGCCTCATATTCTGTTAAAGTTAAAGTAAATAGAAATTATTTACCTTAGCATAATTTCCTGGGTTTTGGAGCAATGACATATTGGGAAATTAGTCTACTGGACTTTAAAGGAGTGTTGCTGTTTGCTGAAGTGTCTGATAGTGATATGCACCTATCACTACAGTATGTAAAATTGCCTCTGCCATCATAAAACAAAAAATGTCAAGAACAGTTTTCTTTGAATTAAAAAATGCCAAAACCTGAGCACTCTTTCTTTTAGGGTCTGTATGTATTTGATATTGTCGTTGCCACATATACATATGGCAATAAAAACTGGACAACAAAAAAACATTTATTGCATGGCTTGATTTAGGGAAAGTAAACCTATTTGTCCCTGGTGCTACCTTACATGATTACCTCGATGCCTCAGACAAAAACAGGTTGCACCTCCTGCACAGTATATAATTATCTATTACTTGTGGTTTTGATATTGCTGATTCACAGTGTCATTACAACAACATTATTCGGGTCTAGCATGATAATGTTTTTAATACTTCATAAAATTTCATGAAATGAAAAAAAAGGTCACTCTAACAATTACTGTCAGTGTGATCATTGCTCCAAGCCAGTTTGGGTCATCAGTCTGTTTCCCAGATGAAATATGAACATGCACAGTATGCAAGTAGGTATAACTATGAGGTTCCATTTTGCAGTTTTAGGTTGCGCCAGTGCAAATTCTAAATGCTAAATCGAGCAATGCACTGGGTCACTTGACCAGTAATGTTTGTGTTGTTGAAAAAATGGACACACGTCAAAAATGTGAAGAACTAGTAGGTACAACTTTGAAAGCTCTGCTTTTTGAGGCAAAAGATTTATTTCAATTTTGCTCCTGCTTGGAAAACAAAAGATGTGCTATTTAGCTGTTTTAATGGCTAAAATAAACACCGATTTTGAGTAAAATGCACTCACGCAGACTATGACTATTTTTGTATCTCGTCATTCCAATTTTTAAGAAATCCATTTACATTACATTCTTAAACTAGATCTGGTTTCATCCGTTTCTGTGAAAGGAAAATAGAATTCATGCATGACATCTTCAGTCACCAGAATTGTCCTTCTTGTGGCGATAGACCCATAACAATATTATGTTATTGTTATGACATACTGACATTTTATAATATCTCACGTGTTAGAACATTCTTCGAAAATCATCGACCGCGAGATCCATTACGAATTTGTAAAAATAAAGATCTACGCACCGGCGGCAATATTGAAGAGAAAAAATATACAACGCAAGCAAAATATACCAACTACTGTTGAAAACAGCTAACAGTAACGAACTGAAAGTGATTAAAAACTGAATTCTATTATATATTTTGGATTTTACGGGAATTTGAATCAATGTAGAAAATGTATCAATGGTCGTTTTCCAACTCGTGCCTATTTTACCTCCATGAGTGTCATGCCGTAAGTGCTTCCGGTTTCATCAAGGGTGGGTACAATTACAAATATTGTGATAATGTTTCATGATCTGCATTATTTAGGTATTGAGTCGTTTTCTTTGAATGTTTTTGAGTTCAGATTCTGCTTATGAATGCGTATTTTCAAACATCCTTTGTGTCTTGTCACTTAAAAATACCGCGAGTTTGGCTACGCCCTTACGCGTGACCTACGGATGTCAAACAATGTCAGTGTCGGAAGGTTTATCCAGCATTATAAACTCGATAAATATGATAATTTTGTTACAAAGACAATACCATTTACCTAATCAGACCATGTAATTATTTCCAGCGAAAAATAGTTGGATCTATAAAAAAGATGGCACATTTGTTTCGGCATCACAATGCACGTGGAGTTGTTTGTTTACCGCCGTTGTCATGATCGTTCCTATTCGTCCAATCGGTGTAACATTGAGATTGTTTTTGTTTATAAATAATTAAACCGAAAGTTACAAATTTTTAGAAAATGGGAATGTTTTCTCTTCACGGAAGAGCAAAAATATGAATCAAATTATTAAAAATTATTTCATTATGAAGAAAATATTAGACTGGGTACCATGCGACGTGATATGTGCCTGAAGTCAACAATGGCCGTTATTTGCGGCTGTGTGCCGATAATTTTGGCGAACACATTTTTAATTCGCGGGCGTTTCTTTTTAGGGTACACAAACTAATTGAAGATTATATATTTAGAAAGCTGAGAAGTAATGCATTCCATACATAATTCAATTGACACGTAAATCCGACTTGTTGAATAATTATTGGAAGTTTTAATTAGTCTGATTGCCAGTGCATTTGGGACTCAGAGGCATGGTCGCCCGATAGTGCACAGTTTCTTTGGTCTTGCAAATCTTATGATGGACTTACCTCGTTTTTGTTGTGTGAAATTAGTGTTGAGTAGCTCTTTTCTTTCATCGTAACTCAGCCCAAAATTGGATGTTGCTGGAAGAAACAAAAATAGGTGACGGTGGAATTTTGTTACACAACGGCCATAGATGGTGCTTACTTATATCTTGTGTATAATTGCACTCATGAAACTCTGCTTCACTTTCATTTCTTTCCTCAAATGCATTGAGATGTGATGCGTCAAACGTACTAATATAGACATAATGAATGTGCTATAATTATTTACCAAGGATGTGTGTGTCTTCCCCATCCTCGTCAGAGATGGTAGGACTCCTTGTGAAAGAGCACCTGATTTCCTCGTCTGAGTAGTCCAGTTCTGGGTCGCTGTCGCTGCTTGACGTCAGTGACATTTTGTCTCCTTTGCTAAACAGTTTAGAACGACAGGCAATGCTTATTACATATTACAGTAAAAGAATATGTTCTTGTAATTGGCTTTACCAGTGCATTTGTCAGCAGAAATGTTTGTTATGGGAGACATGTTAATTGGTTGTCATCAAATGGGCGTTTGACAGGTGACCACATAGACAGAAAGCTTCGAACTTGACGTCACATGCCTTGGTCTGGTGATCAGGCCGACAAATCCCAGATTTGACATTATGCAATGATCCACGACATAATTTTGAAACGTTTTCCTAATATTTATGCCATGCTGGGCATTTCTGTTGCATTCTCTGTAACCACACAGATCGGTCCATGCGCTGTATCACTCCCTTGCAGTTTATCACGTAGGACCTTGGACCTTTGTCAAAAAATACAACACCATCAACATATCTCACAGCTACTTCCAACACATACTTCTTTGGGTCTGTGCCATCCACTCCATGGAAGGCAACTTCATACAAATCAGATGGAGCATCGGTAAACCGTCCATTGATACCAAGAACAACGATTTCAGACTGTACCTTTTCAGAAAGGACTTTAATTAATTTACGCTGGAAATCAGCAGTGATTTCAAAACCATGAATAATGGGTTCCTTGCCCACATAGTGTTCGAAAGTTTTTGCTTCTTCACTTATTCCAACATAATAAGAACCACCCCCTTTCACTTTTGAAAGGGAAGTTATGTTATCTTTCAATTTTAGATCATCCCAAATGTACCTAGCAAGTTCTGTTTCATCATGTTTGTGTAAAGATAGCTGTTGTGTTTTGGGCTTGTATGATTTTAATTCAACATGCCTGTCTTCATATAAGTGCCGAACATCAATGCCTCTGATCTTTGGGGGAGAGTCTGGATCATAAAACGTCTTGGACAAAATGGCAGCAATAGACAAAGCTGTTGGCTGATGGTTTTCGAAATCTGTCCGTATTTTAGTGTTGAAGTCTGTTGTTGTGATACACTTAGTTTTCGTCACATTTACAAATAGAAAGTCTTTGTAAAGTTCAAAACCAGGTTTATCCGAAAGCCAATTACGGACAAACGAGTCTACAAACAGCGCACCATCTTCAATAAGTTCACTAAATGTTCGCCCAATAGCTTCATCAACTTCCTCCAGACTTCTGTCTGCCTCATTCAAATCCTGAAGGTGAAGAGTAATAATGCCCCCTATAGAGTTACGAAGAGCTGTTGCAGTCTTCCCAACATCATGCAGGAGCTTCTTTTTATCACTTTTCTTAGCTTTTTCTCCTTTGGTGTGGAAAAGTCTCCTTGATGAATGCAATACATATAGATGTGGTTCACCGCAAGTGTTTCCTAACTTCTGTTTGACCTCCAGACACTTCTTGCAATTATCTGCGGATATAGTAAAACAAGTAAATGGTCAGTGGTTTGAAGGACGTATCACAATGAAATCGTATGATACATTTGCTCATATTTATGGGAATAATAGATAAATGGAACAGATTAAACTACCGGGCAAAGAAGCTTATCCCTTTTAAGAGTAATTGTATATAAACAAACGGCTGATGCAGGTTTGAAGCCAAGCAGAAAACATTTGCCAAAAGTCAACATGGTCCAAATAACAAAGCAGCTGTCCGAAAACATTTATTCAAAACGTAAAAATAGTTATTGTGAGACATTGGTCCAAATGCATGAGTCTGATTATGGCATAAATACCGATTTTGGACAGAGCAACCAAAAACCTAACACGATTATTCTAAGACTCAGCCGAAATGAGACAGGGCGGTTTGGTGTGGCCAATATCGGGGTTCATAACACCAGTAAATTGATAAACCGCTACCAGCAAACAGGCAAGACCCAAGAAAGACCAAAGTTCGGGAAGACCAATTGTCACGACAATGGCCCAAGACCGCTCCATCTGGCGGATGTTCTGCCGGAACATCCCCTGGAACAGATTCGGCAGATCCACCTCCAGAACAGATTTATGACGGCAACTGACAGCACCAGGACATGCCATCAGCAGACGAACAGCCCTTTGATGATTTGGTATGGCTGGTATACCAGCCTACTGCACCTTCCGTTAAATGGCCTTGACCCCTCTACATCGTCAGTGCAGACTACAACTGTACGTCGGTGTCAGTGGCGTGACTGAGAGAGAGAGTGCTCTTTGTAGATGAAAGTCAGTTCAGTCGGTTCAGAAACTATGGCAGAGATCGAGTTTTTCGACCTAGAGGAGAGCAACTTCCACCAAACTGCGTTCAAGAAGTTCATCCAATCAATGAAGAAGGAGTCACGTATGGGGCAGCATTTGTGGCCAGAGAACAACAAGGCTGGTATATTATCTGTCGGCAAAATCTGAATTTCCAGCGATACAGGAATATGTTGAGACCTTTGTGGTGAGGAGTCAGTTTGCAGCACAACAACGCCAGGCCTCACACCAGAATGGATCGAGAATACTTGCACAACCTCAACGTCAACGAATTGCCTTGGCCAGCGCATTCTCCAGATATGAACCCCGTGTACCACCTTATGGAACAGGATTCCTGGTGACATTATCCGCCGACTGACTACGTCAATGAGGAGACGTGTGTTGGCGTGTTTTGATGCCCAGGGTGATCACACTCACTACTGATGACGTGTCCCCTGACTCTTGTCTCTTTATGTGACTCTTTATGTACTTTTTTAATGCACTCTGATTTGTGTTATTTCTAATTTTCCTCCCTTGAATACTTTTTAATGAATCGCGACAAAGACCAGCATTTCTTTGAATTTAGTCAACTTAATGGAAAATGATTTTTTTTGTTTGCAAAATAATTACCCTAAATCTCGCATATGTCTTTGTGTCTAATTTTTGGTCAAGTGAAGTCGGTGATAACTTTCTTTCGCCTGGTTTATATTATTTGCAAAATGTATATAAATGGTGTAAACAAGATCAGGAGTACCACATTCAAAAGCTCACAGACAAAAGCTCCCATACGCGAACAGTGCATTGGTGAATTCACTTACAAAGATTCAAACATGTCACATGCACAAGTTAGATTTGACATGTGATTTCATAAATAAAGCCATATCGTATGGGTAAACTCATTCACAGATTTATCGACTTTTGAGATTTTATGTCACTCGATCGCCGAACATATGGACAGACGATTGTCAGCCTTACATTATGATTTTATAATAAGAGCAAAGCAGAGGACACACAGACTCTTTTTCTGACAGGTACTTACTTTTCTAATTAAAATCACGGAACCTGACACACATCTTAGAGCGCATGGTTTGTTTCGTACCTCAGCAATCGACAGCCGTCAGTTATCGTAAATAATCACGCATCTAAGAAAAGCCCTTTATCCTGTGGAGTACCACAAGGATCGGTTCTGGGACCAGTGTTGTGTACGCTTTACACCAGAGATCTAGGAGATGTAATCAGTACGCATGATGTGAGCCACCATTTTTATGCTGATGACACCCAGTTGTCTGTTTCGTGCAATTCCAGTACAGCATATCGAATGTGGGAACGACTGTCAGAGTGTACAAGTGACGTAAAAACATAGATGACGACACATTTGCTCAAACTGAATGAGACGAAAACAGAGGCGTTGCTTGTCGGCAATAAGAAGAATCTTCATCAAGTGATGACTAACTCAGTCACAGTTTGCAACATTGTCATTCCATTTTCGAAAACCGTAAAAAAACCTTGGACTTCATCTGGACTCTGATCTCTCTTTGAAAGCTCATATTGACACAGTCTGCAAATCCTGTTACTTCCATTTGCGGAACATTAGCAGCATCCGAAGCTCCCTTACTACAGCGGCAGCTCATGCACTGGTGCGATCTCTGGTTCTCTCAAAGATTGACTACTGTAACAGCATGTTCTATGGACTTTCCGAAAAACTTCTATCAAAACTCCAGAAAGTACAAAACTCTGCAGCTCGACTTGTCAGCAAAGTTCCCTCTAGGATCCACATAACGCCTGTTCTTAAGTCTCTTCACTGGCTACCAGTCAGAGCCAGAATTGAATTCAAGGTCCTGAGTATTGCCTACCAGTGTTACCATCTTACGGCTCCAGAGTACCTTGTTGAGCTAGTCACCAAGCACAATCCTTCCAGAATGTTAAGATCGGCAGATAGACACCTTCTCACTATTCCTAGACAGGCATTCGGGTTTCGCTCCTTCAGCTATGGTGCTCCACAGTTGTGGAATCAACTCCCGACTGAACTCAAAATGTCTCCCTCCATTGACTCATTTAAAAGTTCCCTGAAAACCCATCTTTTCAGAAAATATTACGATCTATAACTTAACTTTCCAAAAATTTCAGCCTCGTTCTAGCATAAACTTTCCCTTTGTAAATATTTGTAAATATGTAGCGCTTTGAGCATGCCTTATGTGAGGAATTCAGCGCATTATAAATACACATATTATTATTATTATTATCACATTTGCGTAGGTTTGGCAATAACTTATTCTTAATGGAGTATTCTTATTATACCTTACTAATTTTCCACCAATATTTTCAACATTTAGTTATTCCAGCACGACATTGTTCTCAAGAGTTGTCAGAACAACCAAAGCAACCAAACTATTTAATTGTCCTATCCTTAACATCTAAATTTTTATGTTATGTGGTTGTCTTCCAAACCTAGTCTGGTGTACTCAGAGGCCACCACGCCTATGTGGTATTCGGCAATCAAGTATTAGAGGGATTCATTCGTAAGAAGGTACCAGTGGCTAATAGAAGCATACCTGCTTTGGTCCCCATTCACCAGCATTCCGTTGACCTGCAACATAAGTGTTTTATACAGTCGTCTAAATAAATAATATACTGAGTCAAAAAAGAAACTTCACAAAATGTAATTTGAAAAATAATGAATAATTTTTCTCTGATGATACATCTATGTATCCGAAATGGGATCCCTATCTTTCGACTCTAGAAAAACGTTAGCAAAACCCACTCAAACCCATCCATTCGTCGTGCAAATGACGTTAGTGCCAAATCAGGTTTTGCACGTGCAGTCGATCACGTGATCTTCACATCGAAGTTTTCTTCATATGCACGTGTTTGCATTGACTTGAAATGCCACGATTGTCACATGTGCAACGTGAACGTGCCGTTGGCATGTTGCAAGCGGGAAGATCAGTTATTGACGTCGCAAGAGCAATGGGATGCAGCCGTCGTACTGTGTATGACTTGCGAGATCATCTACAACAAACTGGCACCACTTCTGATCGCCCAAGGTCGGGTCGTCCACGTGTGACGTCACGAGCAGAAGACCGTCAAATCGTCCTACGTCACCTACGTGACAAATTTCTGCCGGCTAAACGAACCAGGGCTGAGATGTTTAGAGGTCGACTGTCCTCACAGACCATTCGGAATCCGTTGCGGGCTGCCAATCTCCATTCTCGACGTCCATATCGTGGGCCAATATTGACGCCGTTTCATCAACGTCAACGTCTGCTGTGGGCCCAACGTCACCTCCGTTGGACCCAGAGGCGGCCGGGGCGGCCATACACGATATTGAACTGAGAAATGTCGCATTTTTGTTCTTGTGACTTGACATTCTGTATACCCATGTTTTGGAACGGCGGTGTAGCCTAATGGAACTGATTATGGCACTGTCAGTGTATCGAGTACATCACACAGATATCAGCAATGAAATAATAACAATTTAACCATCTTACCATCTCTTGTTCTTTTATAGTGCCCTGAAGAAAGAATGTGAAGGTTGTTTTTTTGACTCAATATACAAATACTGAGTGGCATTCACTCCAATGAAAACCCTCAACAGCTTTTTATTTATCAATCGCCTGAGGAGCGTTCGCCTGAGGAGCGGAAGGTAGCTGGTTCGATCCCGGGCCACATCATTCCAAAAGACGTTACAATATGGCACTTGTTGGTCCCTGCCTGGCGCTCGGCATTAATGAGTACAACAAGGACTGGTCGACTCGGAGTCAGTATAATGTGTCTGAATTGGGTATTCATGCTTAACTGCGGCATGGTATCTCAGTGAGCTAGTACTATAAAACCGCCTTAAGTCTGGGTTAGTACAAGCAGCCACACATACACACATTTGCACGTCGTCATATGAGCGAAACATTTATAAGTGCGACGTTAAACCCCATTTCACTTCACCTCACCTTTTTGTATTTATCCAGTCCAGATACGGCTTTCTGTCAATGAATTACCAAGTTATGTACTGACGGCTGGGTATCTGAGTTCGACACAAAATCAATAACTGGTGACAACTCCGCAAAGATAACGAACGGTATATGGACGGTATGACATAAGTTGAAACTCCCGTATGATAGATGTGCTTCCTTGTGCGGAGTATGGCAAAGTACGTGTTGGCATCCCAGTAACCAGTGCATGTACAGCGTGGAAATACATGTATTTAAATACAACAGACACGTTGCTCAAGCAAAACAGGTCTAAATGTTTTTCTTTTCTGCTTCTTTTTCGGTGATAAAGTTTCTTCTTACGTTGTAATGTTTGCTAATTTTATATCACATTTGTGACAATTCAAATTGTCCACACTCTTCAAAAATGTTGTTTACTGCATTAGTTTCAAAACAGTTTATTCATGTATAATTCAATGGTTAAAAAGTGAAAATTCACATGTCTATAGACAAGTGTTCGTCAATACCAGCCTTTATTGTTGTGTTTCTGTTTACTTGAGCCCACAAGCCCATGGCATCAAATTCAGTACTTTGTACGGCCACTATTGGCACCAATTACTACTCGGCACAGACTGGATCAGTCGACGAAGTCGTTCTTGCGGTATTTTCCCCCACTCTTCCTGCAATACGATGGCCGGTTGTGGAAGCGTGTTTTGTCGTTGACGTACACGTCGATCGAATTCTTCCCATAGGTATCCCATCGGGTTTAGATGTGGTGATAGAAGTCGCGTTGTCATGCTGGAACAACTCCCTCTGTCGGTCCATAATCGGAAGCATGTGATGTGCAAACACTTCGTTGACGTACCGATTCCCTGTCAAATTCCCCTGAGCCACTAATAAATCTGATATTTGTGTGCTGGATATGGCACCCTACACCATGATACTTAATCCACCGATGTTTGTCGATCTATCGAATGCAAATAGCGTCAAAACGTTCATTTCCACTGTAAACACGCTGTCTTCAATCTCACCGGTGAAGAAGAAATCGTGATTCATCACTGAACTAGACTCGCCTCCAGTTTCTAAGGTTCAAGTTCCGGACTCGATTGTGCCTTAAGAGATTGTGCCGATGGAAGTCTCTCAAAACAGGGGAGACAACTGGCCTTCTTGGTCGAAACCCCACTTCACGCAATCGGTTCCTGAAATTATTCTCAAATCACTGTTCAGTCTCTACGGCTGCGGCAAAACGATGACGCAAGTGAGCAACCCGGATGTAGCGGTCCTGGGCTTGGGTGGTAACGTTTGGACGGCCGCAACTCGGGCGATCTTGGGCGAAATTTGTCTGCAGGAAACGATCCCAAAGGATCTTTTCAGAAAGATATAGTATCCCACCGTCATTTGTTTTCGTTCAGAATCGGTTTTCGGTCAGACATTTTGTATAAGTTTTCTCATGATACGCTAGGAGATTTCGCGACATCAGGCAGATACATTCAGCCGAGAGTCGGAATTCTATCGCTCGGACTACGAAAATGCTTCGTGTCAAGATCAACAAGGTAAATATCAATAAATAGATGTGAAACTCCTATTTTACGACTGAGATTACTAATGTAAAAAAGTGACTTGCAAATAAATGCTACATCTTGATCAATCATAGCTTGTAAATTACACAGTAACTCGTCGTCTGTTTCTTTACGTCTTGTCATCATTTTGTCACATTATATATCACGTGACATTGCCATCGTAAAGAAAATCTATGGAAGATGGGAAGGGTCATCACTTATCGTTTTTCGAAAAACAGCAAATCGTTGTTTCTGAACAGAGATTAATAGCATATATTTAGTTTAGGTTTTGACGAATGGCCAGTATACTGGAAGGGGACAATAGCGCCAATATTCATCTGAGGCTTTGGAAAATGCGTATGAAGCCGTTATTGACGGAATGTCTGTTAGGAAAGCTGCTAAAAACTTTTCTGTTCCCTTTGCTACTCTCCGTGACCGTACTAGTGGGAATATTGGTATGGAGTGTTTAAAGTCTGGTCCTGAGCCTTTGTTGTCAATCAAAGAGGAGAGAAATCTTGTTGTTCATATTCAAGCAATGGCCGACTTTGGCTTTGGATATACACGTTCTGATGTTGCCGACCTTGCTACAGATTTAGCAATTCACCTGGGGAAGAAATCCAAAACCGACGAACCACGGTCTATGCAATGGTTTTATAATTTCTTGTCGCGTTGGCATGATCTCAAAGTCCAAAAACCAAGATCACTTGAGTTACAGCGTGCGAAGGCTACGTCCCACGAAACGGTCGGACACTACTTCAAAGAACTTGGACAGATTCTTGACAAGTACAACTTGAAGGATAACCCACATCGGATATACAACATTGATGAGAAGGGAATTGTGGAAAACCACACTCCTCCGTCTGTGGTATGGTCAAGTCAGGCCACCCCATATGCTGTCACCTGTCCGAGATCTAGCACTACTACGATTATAGGGTGCGGTAGTGCTTCAGGCGCCGTAATACCCCCGTATTTTGTTTTCAAGGGGAAAAGAATGCGTGAAGAAAACATGACAGGATCGACACCAGGAGCAGCCGGAACTGTTTCTGATTCTGGATGGTCGAAATCCGAAATATCTTGAACACCATTTCCTGAAGAATTCCGTCACAGCGTCTGTTAATCGTCCCTTGCTTATTTTCTATGATGGACATAGATTGCATGTGTCATTATCGCTGATAACCTGGGCTTGTGAACACAACCTTTGGACGTCTGCTGTTTTGGATCTTTTTCCAAGATTTACAACAATCTCCGACATAAATTCATGAGGATCAATGCCATCGTTGCTGTTGCAAAACATTCCGTTTGTGAACTGGCATGTAAAGCGTACTCCTTGGCATTAACTCCATCAAATCTACAGTCATCGTTCAAGACGTGTGGGATTTATCCATTTGATAACGGTACTGTAAGTCGCATTAACTTTGCCCCTTCAACTGTTTTTCACACCCCATGTGAAGACGCTGATAGATCCGAACGTGTCGACAATTCTAACGACAAAACAACAACATCGTCTGTCAAGACCTTTCTTTTTTTTCAAAACAGAGCGTTTTGACTGATAAATCGCAGTCTACAAAGGAGAGGAAAGTTCTTAGTGCGGTCGTCGGTGGCAAGGGCATTACAGAGGATTCAATTATGGAGAAAGTTAGAGAACATCAAGTTTGCAATCCCCCTGTGAAGAAAAGAAAATCTGCAAATAAAAAAACAAAATCGAGACAAAACATCATGACAGATAAATCATCGTCTCCTCAGCTAGGTACATCAGGCATTTACTTCCTTAGAATCGATCCCGTCGTTGATTCTTCTGACGAAGAAAATGAGATCACAGATGATGAACTTTGCTGTCACTGTCACAGATTTACACCACAGGAACTCGAAGGATGCCAGAGCATCGAGTTTGTCTCATGGGCAGAATGCACACACCCATCGTGCAAACACTGGGTTAACCTGAAAGTATGCACACCCGTAAGAGTTGTTCGTGCCACGTCAGTATTCTGGTGTCCTTGTCATGATGAGAAGGAGGAATAACTTGTGAAGATTATTTATCATGCCAGTACGGAAGCGTAGTAGGGCCACGGTGAAATTTTTTTTTGGTCTTACTATCTCCTACGTAG